CCTAGCTCAGGGCCAAAGATTGAGTTGAATAAACAAATACCAGAAGGGAGAAACAGGGTAGATTCTGGCAACATCCAGACCACACCACTTACTAACTTGGGGCAAGTAACTTCTAGTCTTGGAGCCTGTTTCTTCACCAAGAACTTGGAGGTAACAAGAGTACTTACTTCTTCGTAAGGCCTAAAGGAGATAATCTGTGTTCATCACACATCACACTAGCTAGTCCACTGGGATCACTTTTTGGACCAACTGCCTTTCTCTCTTTTTTTTTTTTTTGCCTTCCTTCTTTATTAAATTCCCTTAAGCATTACTCATATTATAATTCAACTTTAAGACAGGACAAATCTCACAAAGTATTTATGGTGAGTTCTCTTCTTATAAATGAACCCATAAAAAAGTATCCCCTAATTCCTCTAGTTTTTCCAACCTCCTTGGTTTTCTAAAATTGAAAAAAAGTTACTCTGGTGTACTAAAACCAGAACCAAGTTTCCTCAACATCTTCAGTTTAAACTACCTTTAATTCCTCAATCAAGGCATACCACACAATGTTATCTACACTTTACAGTAAAGGACTCAAGTGGCTGCTGTTTTTTGCTTAGTGTAACCATTACACAACAGTATGTACTTGTCACCCCTGGCCTCCTAAAAAAAAAAATCCAGAATTTATTATCTTGACCTTAGGTGCCAAATGAGGCTGGCCAGGCTTTCTCCTGGGCTAAGATCATAGATGGTTAGGAGTAAATAAAACCCCAGCGTCATGATTCTGTATGACATCACACACTTTCAGCCTAGCATTGCCAACTACTGGGCACATTACCCTGAGCTCCTTGTAACAAAGGTGGTGATGTTCATTTAAAAAACATCAAGAAACAGATTAATAAAATTCAGAATATGGTATGTACAAATCCATCTTTACAAAAGGATTTTCTAGAAATTAAAGGAGAAAAATGCATAATATACATATTTTACTGTTTTCCTTATATATACAAAGACCTTTGTTATAAGTAATTACTAAGCTAATGATACAGTTTTACTTCAAGTTTAGTTTTTCCTATTGTGACATTAGCATCTGACTACATTCATTCTGAGATAGCCTGAAGCAAACGTAGGTGGGGGTGGTCACCCTGTTGAACAGTTGCCAAAGAAAGTAGAGATGTTGAAAAAAGGCAGTTGTAACTTTGAGCAAAAATCGACCTAATTATTTGTGATTATATGCCATATTTTTTAAGGTGAGCATCTCAAGCCAACTGTTTGATTTTTTAATAATACAGCAAATTATGTTATTCTTGCAACATTCTTGATCTCTTTAGTTGCAGACCAGTAGTAATTCCTTCCCTCCTGCTTAAATTATATGAATAAAAATGAAAGGACAGGCTGGGCACGGTGGCTCACGCCTGTAATCCCAGCACTTTGGGAGGCCGAGGCGGGCAGATCACAAGGCCAGGAGATTGAGACCATCCTGGCTAACACGGTGAAACCCCGTCCCTACTAAAAATACAAAAAAAATTAGCCAGGCGCGGTGGCGGGCACCTGTAGTCCCAGCTACTCGGGAGACTGAGGCAGGAGAATGGTGTGAACCCGGGAGGCGGAGCTTGCAGTGAGCAGAGATCACGCCACTGCACTCCAGCCTGGGCAACAGAGTGAGACTCTGTCTCAAAAAAAAAAAAACCCTTAACAAAATACTAGCAAACCAAACCCAACAGCATATAAAAAAGATTATACACTAGGACCCATTAAAATTCATTTCAGAAATGCAAAATGGTTCAACATACAAAAAAAAATATGAGTGTATCACACCATATCAATACAATAAAGGACAAACACCAACATTTCAATAGATGATCATCTCAACAGATGCAGAAAAAAACATTTGACAAAATCTAACATCCCTGCATGAAAAAAACACTCAATAAACCGAGAATAGAAGGGAACTTCCTCAATGTGATAAAGGACATTTATGAAGAAGCCATAACTAATATCAGACTTAATGGTGAAAGATGAAGATTTCTAAGATCAGGACCAAGGCAAGGATGTCCACTCTCACGCTTTCTTTCTTTTTTTTTTTTTTTTTTTTTCCCCGAGACGGAGTCTTGCTCTGTCGCCCAGGATGGAGTGCAGTGGTAGGATTTCAGCTCACTGCAACCTCCGCCTCGAGTTCAAGCGATTCTCTGGCCTCAGCCTCCCAAGTAGCTGGGACTATAGGCACCCACCACCACGCTGGGCTAATTTTTGTGTTTTTAGTAGAGATGGGGGTTTCACCATGTTGGCCAGGCTGGTCTTGAACTCCTGACCTCAGGTGATCCACCCATCTCAGCCTCCCAAAGTGCTGGGATTACAGGTATGAGCCACCGTGCTTCGCCCACTCTCACTATTTCTATTCAACACAGTTCTAGAGGTTCTAGCCAGGGTAATTAGGCAAGAAGACAAAAGAAAAATCATCCAGATTGGAACAGAATAAGTAAAATAAATATCACATCATACTTGTGAGGATGGCCATTATCAAAAAAACAGAAAACAACAAATGCTGGTGAGGCTGTGGCAAACCCTTGTGCACAGTTGGTAGGAACGTAAAATGTCGTAACTGTAATGGAAAACAGTATGGAGACTCTTCAAAAAATTAAAAACAGAACTACCATATGGCTCAGCAATCCACCTTACGAAACAGAACCTTGAATTGATATGCTCTTTAAAGGGCATAGAGTTTTAGTCATGCAAGACTAAAACTTTTAGTTTTTAAAAGTTCTAGAGATCTACTGTACAACAATGTTCATATAATAAACAATACTGTACTATACACTTAAAAGTCTGTTATGAGGGCAATTTCACGTTAGTTTTCTTGTTTGCGCTTTTTTGTTGTTTGAGAGAGGGTCTTGCTTTGTCACCCAGGCTGGAGTGCAGTGGCAGGAACATGGCTCACTGTAGCCTTGACTTCCTGGGCTCAAGCGATCCTCCTGCCTCAGCCCCACAAGTAGCTGGCACTAAAGGTACATACCACCATGCCAGGTTAATTAGATTTTTTTTATCATAATAAAAAAAGTAAAGTTAGGAATCAATTTAACCAAAGAAATGCAAAACCTATACTCTGAAAACTGCAACATGTTATTGAAAGAAATTAAATAAAATATAGATAAATATGTATGCAATAAAATATGTAGAGGGAGGCTGGGCACGGTGGCTCACGCCTGTAATCCCAGCACTTTGTGAGGCTGAGGTGGGTGGATGACCTGAGGTCAGGAGTTGGAGACCAGCCTAACCAACATGGTGAAACCCCATCTCTACTAAAAATACAAAAAAATTAGCCGGGCGTGGTGGTGGGTACCTGTAGTCCCAGGTACTTGGGAGGCTGAGGTGGGAGAATCGCTTGAACCTGGGAGGTGGAGGTTGCAGTGAGCCAAGATCGTGCCACTGCACTCCAGCCTGGGCAACAACAGTGAAACTCCGTGTCTCTCTCTCTCTCTCTATATATATATATAAATATATATATGTGGAAAATTATGAGGTATTTAGAATGCATTGGCAAAACAACTTTGTGTTTCCAGCCAAAACCCTAGAGTCAGTCTGGTGGAAAACTGAGATTCTGCATTGCATTTAGTTAATTTATTGGGGTCATTTATTCTTACAAAACAGCATTTCTTTTAGTAAGAAGTAATCCTTTTGCTATGTTTTTAATTTCCACAGCAAATCAAATCTGCACAGTGCTTGCCATCCCCTCTTCCTAAGAATCTAGCTCCCTCTTTTTCAAGGCCCAATCTTAAATACCACATCCACAGACAGGAATTTCCTTACCAGCCAATCGAACTCCCTATACTTTGTTACCCTGTTCTATTTTCTTCTGGGATTTCGCACCTTCTTTTTATCTTTTTCCAGAACTAAGGCTGCATGAGAGTAGGGCCTTCGCCTTGTCCTTGCTATGTCCCAGTTCCTGGCAGGGTTCATGGTGATGGTCAAATATTTGGTCAACCAAAGAATCTGGCACAAAAGCTTTCCTCTTCCTGGGTCCCCGCATTCCTCTTCCTAAAATGAGGCGGCTGCCTGATCGCCCATGACCCCCCCGCTCCGCCTCTCCATGTTTTGGCCCTGCTGAGAGGCATCTGTACAGTAATTGCTCCCACAGACCAAGCTCCATTGCTGCCATGGGCTGTGCAGGGTGACTGGGTTACAAGAGACACAAATCCTGGCACATGGAGCATCAAGTGTTTCTTCTCTGTCTAGTGCTGGTTAAGAAACCTGGGTTCAGAGACTGTAAAGTGGGAGAAGTAGTGTTTTTCTTATACAATTCTGTTAAAACACTGCAGTTATATATCCCGCTGAATCCTCAGAAGAACCCTCTAAGTTCATCTGTGACAAGAAAGCTGTGGACTAGAGACACATGAAAGTGGGAGGGCCAGGATTCAACACAGGATGGATTCCCTTCTCTGGAAGGCATCCCCTGGTAATATTTGAGGTCCAGCTACTGTCTATGGTGATACAGGAGGGGCAGGGGGGGCCTTGAGAAGGGAGCAAGAGGACAGGGCAAGGGGTGGGATCTGCTGTGACTGCAGGTCATGGGAGGTAGGGAAGGGAGTCTGCTTGGGGCCTGAGTGGCCAGGGACAGTTTCAGGCAGGAGGGGCTTCTGCTGGTATTGTGAACAGAGAGGACAGAAGTATCTGTGCAAGGACACAGCCTGGTGAATGCCTGGGCGAGGAGAAGGCAGCGCTGGTTGGAGCTGAGGGCACATGGGAATGAGGAGGGTAAGGAGGGCAGGACCAGATGGAGGCACAGGGGCTCTGAATACCAGGCATTGCCGACGTTGTTGAGATTGCTTACTCCAATGGTTCTCAACGTATGCCTCCAAGAACACTGGGGTTTTAAGCATTGGATTATATGGGAAAAAAAATTGTAGTCCCTTATCTCCAAAGTAAAATAAATACATCCATGAATTTTTTAATTTGGTGGCTGCCTATTCTCACTTCTCTTCACCAGAATCTAAGTCAAGGATAGAAGCTGATTCAGCATGAAGTTAGATAAACTATCTTGCATTTAATCAATCATTACAAAAAGTATTCATGACACATACAACCTCATATAACACCCAGGTGTGTGACCATCTATAAAAGGGGGGAAACCCAACCTCTATCCCTTTTCCACGTGGGCAAGCCAAGGGTTCTGAGGGTTCGTCCACAGGGCTCGCTGGCCTGGCCTCCTGCTGCGTCCCGGGCTGTGGACCACTGATGCAAAGGCTTCTGAGTCCTGAGCGCAGACAAGGGCTCCTTTCAGGCCTTTTCTTGAGCTGCACCTGAACCTGTGTTCAGGCAGGGTTTGCAGGCACAGCACCATGTGAGACCACTGGTCCGGGGTCTCAGAGGCCCTGCTCAGGGGAATCGGCTGTGTTCTCACAAGTTCACGGAGCTGAGTGGGTGTGCAACACGAAACAGTAGTGCTGTGAGGGAACAGCAGGGGCAGAAAGAGGCTGAAAAGCATCAGCCAGCTGAGAAAAGCTGAGGCACAGGTAAAGGTGGGCACCTGGAAGAAGCTCTGCCAAATGGAGTCCTCCCTGGCAGGAGTGGTAGTGCTGAGGGGAGCAGAGTGGGCTACGGGCAGGTCCAGCAGGCCCTGGGGAGAGCTCATCCTCTGTGTGTCCGTTCCCTCCCAGACCCCAGCGTGGTGGAGGAGAAGACACAGGCATAGTAAATGAAGGTGAACAGAACCATAACATCCCCACTGGAGGCTGGCCAGACTCAGGCCCTGGGGCGAAAGGAGACAGGTGCTGCGAGACCTGGGAAAGGACGAGAAGACAGAGTCAAGGGTGAAGGAAAGCACCAGGCAGTGGCGAGCAAGTCTAAGTGGGAAGCCTCATGGTCAGGGATGGCCTTCTGAGCCAAGGCAAATTCTGAACAGGGCAGAAGGCTTGTGGTCAGAATACAGTCAGAATACACCTGGCTCTGCAATCTGAAGATGTCATTCACTGTACGTCCTCAAAACTCATTTTGGAGTTTTGTAATCTTATTTCCTCAAAACTCAATAACATATCTAATATCTGGCTCAGTTATATTATCAAGCACCAGTGCTTATTTAATAAAGCAATGGTAAGGCTAGGCATGGTGGCTCAAGCCTGTAATCCCAGCACTTTGGGAGGCTGAGGCGGGCAGATCATGAGGTCAGAAGATCGAGACCATCCTGGCTAACATGGTAAAATACTGCCTCTACTAAAAAAAAAAATTACAAAAAATTAGCTGGGCGTGGTGGTGGGCACCTGTAGGCTGAGGCGGGAGAATGGTGTGAACCCAGGAGGCAGAGCTTGCACCTCTGTACTCTAGCCTGGGTGACAGAGCGAGACTCTGTCTCAAAAAAAAAAAAAAAAAAAAAAAAAAAAAAAAAAAAAGGCAATGGGAACTGAAAGTGCTGGCTGAAGTTGTGAGGTACTGTGTAGATATGAGCAGCTGCGATAAAGGGGGCTGCCTACAAAGCCCTTGGCTCCCAAAGTGGTAAGGGAGAGACATGGGGGCCTCCAGGAAAACTCTCCCATCCCTGGGAGGCCTGAGATGGCAGCAGTCAGGGAGGGGTTAGCACTGCCTTCATGGAGAAGGGGTGGTCTTTCCTTTTGGTACAGCCACTGTGGACTAAGAGGGGTCAAGCCCCGGTCAGTGGAGCTCACCGTGCCACACTCAGTCATCTGGCAGCAGCTCGAGAAGCATGTCCTCCACGCCGTCAATCTGAGAGGCAGAGAGACAGAGAAGGCATTGATCGGCCAGAGCCCTCCACTCCCTCCATTCCTCACTCCCGCGCCTTCCCCTAGCTGGAAACAGCAGGTAGGAACCCAAGTGTGAATTTCAGGGGCTCTCGGAGACTGCTCCCCCTCCCACCAGCCTTCAGCCTGTGGCTGCCCACCAGAGATGTCTTCCTGCGGCCAGCTGGGGGGCTGGGAGGAAGGGGAGGTGGGGTTCTGTTAGATACCTCAGAGGATCTATCTTCTCTCTGGGAAAGTCCTTTAGAAATCCTCAGTTGTCCATTCCCCCCAATTTTTGATGCTTTTGGGACTGGGATGGAGGGAAGATAAACCACTAAGGCCAGACACGGAGGAGGGGAAACCCAAGATCACCCGATGGATCCCTGGGAGAAGCACACTCGCCTTGATGTGGTACACTAAGCGCCAGAAACTGGAGTCTGAGGATCGGTATCGTCCATCAGGGTAGAGCTGCCACAAGATAGGAAGCAAGCTTGGGCCTCTCTGGGTGGGGGTCATAGGATTCCCCAGGACGGTGTTTTCCTGACGCAAGAGCACGCGTAACCTATCCTCTATCTGAGGAGAAGAAAAGCACAGGGCATACTTTCAGGTTCCGCTTGCCAGGGCTCCTCCAGGCACAGAAAACCAGAGTCCTTCCTGCCAGCCACCCATCTGGGCAGGGGTCCGAGTATGAAATGACGGTCATCACTGTTCCCTGAAGCTCACTTCCTTAGGCCATGCATGCTCCTCTCAGGGACTCTGGCTGGGCCAGGACCACCAGCACGCACATGTGTCTAGCCACCCAGACAGGGCCGTGAAAGGCACACTTTTTTTCTGGCGGGTTGCAGTGGCTCACACTTGTAATTCCTGTGCTTTGGAAGCCCGAGGCAGGAGGATCGCTTGAGGCCAGGAGTTTAAGATCAGCCTGGGTGGCGGAGCGAGACCCTGTCTCTACAGGAAAAAAAAAAAAAAAAAAAAAGACAAAGAAGAAAGAGAGAAAAAGAATACTGGCCTTTTCAATGATGTGAGGCAAAATCTGTCCCACAGTTTGCTAGTGGGTTTTTGTGTGGCATTTATCATGATTATATGAAAAACTGTCTGGTTTATGATTCTGGTGTCACGTTGAAGAGATTTCTCAACCAGAGATTTAAAAAAAGAAATTCACTGAATCTTCAGATTATTTCTTCAAATTTTGATTTTAAAAAAGTAAATGTTTAACTTGATTATTAAAGTAAAAACATATTTAAAAAACTGAAGTGCCAATAAAAATGCAAATTTTGGTGGTGGTTAAGAGCCTAGAATTCCAACCCCATTACCTACTAGCAGCCCTACCTTGGACAAATGTACATTTTTGTGCCTCAGTTTCCCATCTGTAGAGACACAGTTGACACTCAATAACTTTTGATTGTTTGCTACTGGACAAACATGTTCTAATTTGTTTTAATTTTTATGCTTTCTTCAGTCTATGTTTGGAAAGAGTTTGAACATTTTTTGACTCTTTTTCATCGAGTAAATCCAAATACTTGTAAAAGAGTTAGATATTTGTTTAACAAAAACTTAACATGGACTAAGGACCCATCTTAAGGCATCACACATAAAACAAAGTCAATATTGATTCAATACCGGCGCTTATACTACGACATAACTTGTTAAATTTGTTTTCTAAATAAAGCACAGAGGTCATGGAAAATACTTCACACTCTAGGGCAGTGGTTGCTATGCCTGGTTGACTTGTTCTTTTGAGCTGTTGAGGGTTCTTTTTAAAATACAGATTTCTGGGACCCACCTAAGATAATCCGATAATCGGCCATATGGATGAGTCACTTAGAGATACCCATTTTTAAGGATTAGGACCCCGAAGCCCAGAAAAGCCCTGCTGTAGTCAACATTATAGTCACACTCCACAGGCACTGGGTCCCCTCCTTTGGCCGACATTTCTTTGCGGTTTTCCCACCCTTTTTCCCTGCCTGGAGAACTCCTAGTCATCCTCCAGAGCCCGGCTCAAAGTGGCTTCATCTGTGGGGATCCTCCCTGCCCCACTGTGGGTGCTTCTCAAGGCCTCACCCTTCCTAGGGCATCTCAAACTCCCGGGGGCTGCCCCTGCTGCCTCGCCATCCGCTCCAGAGCTGGCTGTACCTCAATGGTTAAGGGCACCCAGGCGCGCTGCTTCTCGTCCAAATACACGAACTTGTCCCAGGCCCACAGGCGGTCCGGGTGGTCGGTGACTTCCTCCCCACGTAACGGGCACTCGGCCATGGCACCCTCGGGCCGCCTAAGAAGCAAAAGCCAGAGCCTCTCGAGGCTGCTCGCTGGTCCCTGGGATGTGGGGCCGACGCTTTATATCTGGGCAGCATGCGGCCGCCACCAAGCGGCGGGGCGGGAGGACGGCCTTGGGGCGGGACCCTGGGTCGGGAGGACGACCTTGGGGCGGGGCGTAAGGCAGGATGGGGCGGGGTTTGTGGGGGTCCCGGTGGCAAGTGAGGGTCCCACGCAGGCGCTACGTCCCGCCCTGACTGGCTCCCTGGAACGGTGGCAGCGCCTGGGAACGGAGACCCAGCCCTGGCTGACCCGCGGCTTCCTCGAGGCCCGGGCCAGCAGCGACCCCGACCGCCGCCCTCCGCTGCTGCTGGAGAGTCACCCGGGGTGACCTTGGCCCTTTCTTCTGGGAGACCCCGCCGTTTCCCTCGGCTGCCGGACCGGGACTATTGGCCTCTGCTGGGAACTCACAGTCGACACTAGGATGCCCAGAGCCAGGACCCAGTCCTCATCTTCTGGGATCAGAAGAGACCCACGCGGGCCTGAGTTAGGCCTGGGCTTTCCCGGGTTCCCTGGATCTCCTCCAGCTTGTGCCTTTGAGTGTCAGGGTCCATTTCTTGGCAAAAAACAACTCCTGACGCTCCGTCTTCCATACACAAAGCATGCGTTTTCCGCAGGTCTGATGATGCTGTGGACATCTAATAGCTATTACAAAACGGAGAAACATGGGCTTTTCCCCTTGGGCTTTGAATTTACTAGTGAAAGCATAGTTCAAAATGAATACTTAAAAAGAAACCCCTCCTTCCACCCTAAGATCAATGGATTTGAAAAGTCCTTGGTTTATATTATCAAAACCATCCCTCTGTAAATTACAAGCAATAAGGAAAACAATTTCACTTTATTTTGCAGTAACACATTCCCACTAAGGCAATTAAGAAAGTCATGCACAATGAAAAACATGTGAAACCAGCTCCAACCTGGTTCAAACATCACCATGGAACGGAGTTTGGTGTCTCACCTTCTAGCTCTTTCCCGGTTCTCTGACCAGGCACTAAGAAAATAATTTGTGATCCTTTGAAATATCACAAAAGTGGAAATTAAGAGATCTGATGAGGACATCTGATTCACCTGACAGCTGGATAGCTGCCTCTTTGCCTATCCAGACAGCCTAATTCCCAAGAAGGAGCTGAGGTGGCCTAAGGTAGTCGAGATATAACGGGATTTACCAGGAATACAACATAGAAGAGAAAAGTCAAGGGCAGTTGGGGGTGGAGCGAGAGCCCTTAAGCTCAGCAAACCTCTTTTCCACTGTAGCCCTTAGTAGTGTTAATATTTAATATGCAAGCTTATAGGTTTCACGCTGATTTTCCTGTGAATGGCTCTTGACTTCAGACCCAGATAGCCACAGAGCACGATGAAAAGCTCGCTAATAAGCTCTGTTGCGGAGGTCTCAGCCCAGGCCAGAGCTTTGAGGTGAGAAATAACAAGTCCAGTTTAAATAGTGCTGCTGGGACGGACTTTTGTGGCCAGGGGAGGGGTACCCAGGAGCCAGTGTGGCCACTGACCCAGCCACATCAATGGCCCTAGGACCGAGAATGCTACAAACAATGGAGCAAGAATCAGATCCGTGTGTCTGGGTAAGCAGAATGTTCTGGGAATGTAATTCCTTTTTCCTTCTTTTGTAAGAACAATTTATTTCTTCAGTTTTGCATGAGGGCTTCTTAATATTGAGCAGGAATATATATCATTCTTGTGTGGGATTTGGAAAATTATTTGAGAAAGGGTTCCAATAAATGAAAATGAATTAAGGATGACTGTGGAGTTCATTGGGCAACTTATAGAGCTTTTTTAAGCGAACATTCCACAAGAGGGGAACCAGTAGCTATTGCATAGTCTCAAGAGCTGTCTCTGAGCCTCCGTGGCATGTTATCTGCCCCATCTAAGGGCTATAAAGGCCATAAGCCTAGCTTTAGAATTTTATGTTCCTGTCTGAGTCTTTATTAGTCTGATTTCCCTATGTTTCACACAGAAAGCTACAGGAAGATATCATTTTGACAGAACCCTTAATGGATGCGTTCATGTCCTGATTTAGATCTAGTTTCGCCTTTACTACTATCACCTGTGAACCAGGCAAATCCTTTGCCAACTTGGCCTCACTGCCGTAGTTTTGTAATGAATGGGCCAAACTACCTGTTCTTTAAGCCTGTTTCTAACTCAGTGGGCCCTAATCCTCCCATAACATTGCCTAGTGGGAGGAGGGAATAGTTAAGAAAAGAGATGGACAAAATACATGATGTTAGTTCAGGAAAGCCTACAGTTTTGGGCATAGTGGTTCTGGATCAAGGACCCCAGTGGAATTCATGGAAGCCATTCTTCTTGTTTGAGTTCCAAAGAAGGGGTTGAGGGGTAGTCAAGGCCATCAGGATGACCTTGACTCGAAGTGTGATCCCTGTACCAGCTGCAATAGCATCATCTGGAGCTCATAAAAATGATAGCATCTGGAGCCTCCCCCAAGACCTACTAAGTCGGAATCTGTATTGGAACAAGACCCCCAGGTGATTCATGGGCATGGTAAATGTTGGGCTACATGGAGGGAGGGTCAATGGGGAGATAGGGAGTGTCTAATTCAACACACCAGTGCCCTCTAGATTTCTCCAACTATGACACAGGACTTATACTGATGTTTATGTATCATTTAGTTCCAGGTCATCTTATTTTCTGTCAAAATCACCTCTAATATATAGAGTGTTTTTCTCTTAAAAGAAAATCCTGTAAGCAAGGTCATCCTAACCAACCCTGGGGTCTTTGATTATTAATGATTATAGCAAGCTGTAAAGAGCCTATTTAGAGGCTACTCAGATGTTTAGGCCTCTGGGCCCTATGATGACTGACCCTAAACCACTGAGAATCACCTGGGAAGCTTTAATAAAACACCTGTGGCTGGATCCCACTCCAAACCAATTAGATCAGAATCTCTGAGATTGAGGCTTGAGAAAAGTAGGTGATTCTAACATGCAGACAGGGTTGAGTACAATTTCTCTAAGACCTGAGTGATTGTTTTGATGTGTGCACAGATTTTTAAATCTAAGTAACTATGAAAATGTCAAAGCTATTCTTTCTACCATCAATTCTCATTGTAAACTTCACCCCAACTCCATATTTTACTTCTTTCCCTTTGCCCTCCTTTGCTGCTTCCAATCCTTTGTGGTCAAGGATCCTTAGCCCTAAGTGTACTGGAATCATAAAGGTCTGAGATCTTGCTAATGTGTAAAACACAGATTCTGTGATATATATGTAGCTGTTAAGGCATCCATGCCTGGAGTGTTTCATTTGTTTGTTTTTTGAAACAGAGTTTCCCTCTTGTTGCCCAGGCTGGAAAGCAGTGCGCTATCTTGGCTCACTGCAACCTCCATCTCCTGGGTTCAAGCGATTCTCCTGCCTCAGCCTCCCGAGTAGCTGGGATTACAGGCATGCACCACCATGCCTGTCTAATTTTGTACTTTTAGTAGAGACGGGGTTTCTCCATGTTAGTCAGGCTGGTGTCGAACTCCTGACCTCAGGTGATCCTCCCACCTCAGCCTCCCAAAGTTCTGGGATTACAGGCATGAGCCACCGCGCCCGGCCTGTTTTTTGTTTGTTTGTTTTTTTATTCCTATGTCTGGGCCACAGTTTAAATAATTAAGGCTGCTGATCAAGTGAGTTGAGGGTAAAAAAGATGTTGTAGCCTTGTAAGGGATGCCTTGTAAGCCTGTAAGGGAGCCTTGTAAGCCTGTAAGCCTGTAAGGGATGAAATGGTATCTCTAAATTAATGGAGAATCTGAGACAAGGATATTTCAAGTAGAAATTAGGGACTGATCCTACTCTGCCCACTACATAGCTATCTTCTCTCTCTTTAAACTTAACAATTCTAAGAAACTTAAAGCTTCTCCAACTTTAAGGTGCATAGGAGATTTTATTTAAATACAGATTCTAATTTGGTAGGGTCGAGGCGATTCTCAAGATTCTGAATTTGTAACATATTCATATCCTTGGAGTTGAGGCAGGTACTAATGGTCTATAAATCACCTCTGGGTAGCAAGGGCCTATACTAACCCCCATACTACCCTTGACACCCACGCAAAACACAAATGAAAAACACAACTCGCAACCGCTACTCAAAATGCACCGAATAGTTGATTCTGCCAAGCTAGTGAGTGAGTAAGATGTGATAGAATTGCACTGGACACTTTGAGCTACAACTCTGGCTCCCATTTGCCAGAGGCAAGTTAAAGTTGACCTACATTTGTATTAGAAACATTTCTCAATCCTGGGATGACTCCACACCTTGGGTGTTATTGTCCTACTGGTGCTATGATGCCTACAGCTTTGTTTTTGGTTTTTCGTTTTGTTCAAAAATGCTTTAGCTATTCAGATCTTTTGTGGTTCCATATGAATTTCAGGATTATTTTTTCTGTTAATGTGAAAGTGTTGTTGAAATTTTGGTAGGGATTGCGTTGAATATGTAGGTTGCTTTGAGTAGGATGAACATTTTAATAATTTTAATTCGTTCAATCTATGAACATGAGAGATTGTTCCATTTGTTTGTGTCTTCTTCAGTTTCTGTCATGGGTATTTTGTAGTTTTCAGTGTTCAGATCTTTCACTTCATTGGTTACATTTATTCCTAAGTGTTTTTTTTTTTTTTACTTTTTGTAGTTATTGTGAATGGGATTTTTAAAACTTCTTTTTCACATAGCTCATTGTTAGTGTATAGAAACGTTACTGATTTTTGTATGTTGGTTTTTGTATCCTGCAATTTTACTGATTTCATTTATCAGTTCTAACAGCTTTTGGATGGAATCTTTAGGAGTTTTCTATACATATAAGTTCATATTTTCCACAAACAGAGACAATTTAACTTCTTCCTTTTCATTTGGATGCGTTTTATTTCTTTCTTTTACCTGTCGCTCTGATTAGGATTTCCAGTTCTGTGCTGATTGGAAGTAGTGAGACTGAACATCCTTCTCTTGTTCCTGATCTTAGAGAAAAAGCCTTAAACTTTTCACCATTCAGTGTGACATTAGTTGTGGACTTGTCAAATATGACCTTCATTATATTGAGGTACATTCCTTCTAGGCCTAATCTGTTGAGAGTTTTTACCTTGAAAGGATATTCAATTATGTCAAATGCCTTTTCTGCGTCTGTTAAGATGATCATATGGTTTTTGTCCTTCATTCTGTTAATGTGATGTGTTACTTTTATTGGTTTGTGTACATTGAACCATCCTTGTATCCCTGAGATAAATATTTGATAATGATGAATGATCCTTTTAATGTGCTGTTGAATTCAGTTTGCTAGTATTTTGTTGAGGATTTTTACATCTATATTCACCAGGGATATTGGCTTGTAATATATATATATATATTTTTTTGAAATTTAAAGAAAAAATTTATTGAAGATCTGAAAAACAATTCCTAAAAGATTGACTTTTCCAGAAAACTAACTACACAATGCATTGCCTCTATCATGTTAAAATGTGCATTAGACACAAGTACAAAAACCATGAAACAAGCCACCATTCTTCAACAATTTGAGCAAAGATAAAATGCCTAAGTAACAACACGATGCCTTGTAAAAGGATGGGTTCTTTACTTTAAGCAACTTTAAAAAAAAAAAAAGGAGCACCAGTGGATGAGTGTGTTCAGTTATATACACTGAATTGAACCTTTGGCACTAGGAATCAGAGCATTTTGTCATATAGCATTAACACATATTATAAAAGTGCGTAGTGTCAAAGGAATAGAACCACCAGCATTCAAAAGCAGCTTGGTCAACTAGGTAATAAAACACTCTACAGCATATCCCTCTGTTGTCCATCATTGAAAACACTGGCAGCAAATTTGAAATGAAAAAAAAAAAGAAAAGAAAAGAAAAAAGGAGCTATTACTCCTTTTATTTTCTCTGTTTAAAAATCAAACAGAAAACAAACATCAATTGTTATACACTAACATCTTCAAAGCCCATCGTTTGTACAAGAGAGAGACTAAGAACAAAAATGTGTTTACAGAGATCCAAACATAAGTGAGTGAGAGTACGTCTCACACAGCTTTCCGATGGTACTCAGGAGGAGCCACTTCATAATCGCTGGCACTAAACAAAGTTGCAGAATTCTTTGCCAGGTACTTTAGGAAATCGTGAAGATAATTGAGTAATAAAGCAAGACTCTTCTCATCCAGAGGTGTATAGGCCAACATTGCTTCAGTTCGTATAAATAATCTGAGGAGATGTGGTGCTTCATACACCTGGGACATGGGTGCATCGGGATGATCTGCAAGAATTTCGGCATACTGTGGTCTCTCAAATTTGTAGAGTAGTTGGGTGCCCAACATTACGTTGAAGTATTCTTTTATCCCTGCCACAACTTCATTAACTGCATACTCCTTATTATCTGTGTTTCCACGAGATTTCTTGTAATTTGCATAATCCTCAAGAATGGAATCCACATTCTTCATGGCAGGAAGATAAAAGAGGTGTTTTTGCCTGGTAATTAAGTCCCAGTCATCAACAAGCCATAGTTTTAGCTCTTCAGGAATCTTTACTTTAACTTCAACTCTGTTCATGAATGTTTCCTCATTTTCAACAGTAGGATCTACCTGGGCCCTTTCCTTCCGAGGAGGCTGAGGGGTCTCACTGGTACTGCCACCATCTCCATTTCCAGGTGTTTTCTGTTTGTTCTTTTTTGTTTTCACTTCAACATTTTTCTGTTGCAGACCAGATGTCTTCTTTCCTGGGGCAGCCCCTCTCATATTCCCCTCTGCATACTGCTCCTGACTGGCTTTTTGAAGTTCTCACTGTTTCTGCAAATTGGTGTCCACGTATTTGAGTACTCTGCTCTCTGGAACCCACTTATCCCAATTTTTATTCCAACCACTGTAATGTAAAAAGTATTTCACTTGTCTGTCCTTTATGGCAACCTTTACACACTTTGCTTCATAAAGAAGAGGCCCATGAAAGCACAGCACTCGCTCACCCTCCTGGAATTTCTGTAATATATTTTTTTCTTGCAGTGTCCTTGTCTGACTTTAGTATCAGGGTAATGCTGGCCTTATTCAATAAATTTGTAAGTATTCCTTCCTCTGCAAGTTTTTGGAGCACTTGGGAAGGGTTGGTATTAGTTCTTTAAATGTTTGGTAGAATTCAGCAGTGAAGCGTCAGATTGTGAGGCTTTTCTTTGATGGGAGACTTTTTATTACTTATTCAATATTCTCACTTGTTATTGCTCTGTTCAGATTTTCTATTTCTTCATGATTTAGTCTTCCTAGGTTATATATATCTAGGAGTTCATCCATTTCTTCTAGTTTATCCAATTTGTTGGCACATCATTGTTCATAGCAGGCTCTTATGAACCTTTATATTCTGTGGTATCAGTTGTAATGTTTCATCTTTCATTTCTGATTTTGTTTATTTGGGTCTTCTCTTTTTTTAGTCTAACTAAAGCTCTGTTGATTTTGCTCTTTTCAAAACATCAACTCCTAGTTTCTTTGATCTTTTCTACTGTTTTTCTAGTACATTTCATTTATTTCTGCTCTGATCTTTATTATTTCCTTTCTTGTGCTAATTTGAACCTTAATTTGTTCTCTTTTTCTAGTTTGTGGAGGTATGATGTTAGGTTGTCTATTTAAGATCCTTCTTTTTTGATGTAGGCATTTATTGCTATAAACTTCCATCTTAGAACTGCTTTTGCTACATCTCATATGTTTTGGCATGTGTGTTTCCACTTTCATTTGTTTCAAAATATTTTTAAATTTTCCTTGTAATTTCTTCTTCAATCACTAGTTGTTTAGGAGCATGTTGTTTAATTTCCACATACTTGCAAATTTTCAAAATTCCTCCTATTGATTTCTAATTTCATGCCATTGTGATTGGAAAAGATACCTGATGTGATTTCAGTTTTCTCAAATTTGTTAACACTTGTTTTGTGGCCTAACATATAATCTATCTTGTAGAAGGTTCTCTGTGCTCTTGAGAATATATTCTGTTTATGTTGTGTAGAATGTTCTGTATATGTCTATTAGGTCCATTTAGTCTAAAGTGTAGCTCAAGTTCAATATTTCTGTATTGACTTTCTGTCTGGATGATCTGTCCATTGTTGAAAGTGGAGGTATTAAGTTCCCTTACTGTTATTGTATTGCAGTCTATCTCTCTCTTCAGGTCTATTAATATTTGCATTATAAATTTAGATGCTCTGAGGTTGAGGGTATATATATTTGTAATTATTTTATCTTCTTGATGAATTGGCTCCTTTATCATTATATAATGACCTTTGTCTCTTTTTATAGTTTTTAACTTAGTTCCTTTTTTTATGTAGTCAATGTTCTCCTGAATTAAAGTCTATTTTATCTGATGTAAATATAGCTATCTCTGCTCTCTTTCGGTTTCCATTTGTATGAAATATCTTTTTCCATCCCTCCACTTTCAATTTATGTGTGTTCTTAAAGGCAAAGTGAGTCTCTTGTAGGTAGCATGTAGTTGAGTCTGTTTTTTTCCTTTTTTTAAATCAATTCAGCCACTCTTTTTATTAGAGAATTTAATCCATTTACATTCAAGGTAATTATTAATAGGTAAGGACTTACTACTGTAATTTTGCTCATTGTTTACTGGTTATTTTGTAGATCCTTTCTTCCTTTCTTGCTCACTTGCTGTTTTCCTTTGTGATTAGATGGTTTTCTCTAGTGGCATGCTTTGATTCTTTACTTTTTATATTTTGTGTATCTACTATAGATTTTTGCTTTGTGATTACCATAGGCTTACATAAAACATCAAATAGTTACAATGGGCTATTTTAAGCTGATAACAACTTAACCTTGATCACAAAAACCTCTACGCTTTTACTGCAGTGCCCCTCCAACTACATTTTATATGTTTCTGTAAAATTTACATCTTTTTATATTGTGTATCCCTTAACAAATCGTTGTAGTTGTTATTCTTTTTAATAGTTTGGTCTTTTAACACCCCCACCCTTTTTTTTGAGATAGAGTTTCACTCTTGTCACCCAGGCTGGAGTGCAATGGCATGATCTTGGCTCACTGCAACCTCTACCTCCTGGGTTCAAGTGATTCCTGCCTCAGCCTCCTGAGTAGCTGGGATACAAGCGTGTGCCACTACACGTGGCTAATTTTTGTATTTTTAGTAGAGATGGGGTTTCAGCAGGTTGTCCAGGCTGGTCTCAAACTCCTGACCTCAGGTGATCTGCCCACCTTGGCCTCCCAAAGTGCTGGGATTATAGGCGTGAGCCTCCATGCCCAGCCTTAACCTTCATACTAAAGATATAAGTGATTTGCACACTACCATTTCAGTATTAGGGTATTGTGAATTTGACTGTACTTAATTTTACCAGTGAATTTTATACTTTTATATGTTTTCATGTTACTTGTTAGCATCCTTTTCTTTCAGGTTAAAGAATTCCCTTTAGCATTTCTTGTAAGGTATGTCCAGTGGTGACAAACTCACTCAGATTTCTTTTCTGGGAAGTCTTTGTCATTTCCTAAAGGACAGCTTTGTCAGGTAAAGTATTATTGGTTTGCAGGATTTTTTTCCCTTCAGCATGTTGACTATATCATCCCACTCTCTCCTGGCCTGTAAGGTTTCTTCTGAGAAATCCACTGCCAGCCTTGTTAGAGCCCTCTTGTACGTGATATGCTTTTTTCTTGCTGCTTTCAGGATCCTCTCTTTGTCTTTGATTTTTGACAGTTTGATCATAATATGGCTTGGTACAGTCTTATTTGGATTGAATTTGATTGGAGACTTTTGACCTCCCTATACCTCAATATTTATATCTTTCCCCAGATTTGGAAAATTTCTAACTTTTATTTATTTGTTTATTTATATTCTTTGGTGCCCCTTATGCCCCAGGAAGCTATTATTTTTTTAGATAAGCTTTCTGTTGTTTTTGTTGTTGTTGTTGTTGTTCTTCTCTTCTGCTTCTTGGTCATCCATAATTTAAATATTTGTTCTCCTGATGCTGCCCCATACATTCTTTAAGCTTTCTTTATTTTTAAAGTTTTTTTTCTTTTTTCTTCTCTGACTATATACTTTCATATAACCTGTCTTTGAATTCACAGATTCTTCTTTCGCTTTATTAATTCTGCTGTTGATGCTCTCTGTTGCACTTCGCATTACATTTACTAAATTCTTCAGTTCCAGAATTTTTATTTTTGCATATGATTTCAATCTCTGTTTATTTTGTATATGATTTTGATCTATTTTGTTCATTTATGTTTCTCTGATTTAATTGAATTGCTTTTCTGTGTTTTTATTGAAATTCTCTGAGCTTCTTTATAACAATTATTTTGAATTCTTCGTCAGGCAATTTATATATCTCCATTTCTTTTGGGTCAGCTACTGGGAGATTATTGGTTTTTTGTTTGTTTTGTGGTGTTGACTCCTTTTTAGTCATGCTAATCTCTCTAGAAGAGTTTGTTCCCCAGCCTGCATGGATCCTTCTCTTTTGGATTCCTCCCCTGAAGATGCTCTTTCCTTCTCTACCACATGAGTAGGCTGAGGATTTTTGCTCCCATATCTGACTGTAGGTTGTTAGAAGTAGCCATGCCACTTCTGGAATGCTTTGCTGCTTAGAAACTTTTTCCGCCAGATATCCTAGGTCATCACTCTTAAGTTTAGCTGTCCATAAAGTCCTAGGACATGAATAAAATGCAGTTAAGTTATTTGCTAGGGAGTAACAAGGGTGAATTTACTCCAGCCCTCAGTAAGTTTCTCATTTCCATCTGAGACTTTGTCAGCCTAGCCTTTACAGTCCATATTTCTATCTGCATTTTGGTCACAACCACTTAACCAGTCTCTAATAAGTTCCAAAGTTTCCCTTATCTTCCTGTCTTCTTCTGAGCCCTCCAAACTCCTTCAATCTCTGCCTGTTACCCAGTTCCAAAGCCACTTTCACATTTTCAGGTATCTTTATAGCAATAAAGATAGTCATGCTAATACTTTGGATATTTGTCTCCTCTAAATCTTATGTTTAAATGTAATCTCCAATTTTCAAGGTAGGGCCCGGAGGTATTTGGATCACAGGGAGAGATCACTCATGAATGGCTTGGTGGCCTTCCCACAGTAATGAGTAAGTTCTTGCTCTATTAATTCATGTGATATCTGGTTGTTAAAGAGTCTGGGACCCCCACAATTTCTTGCTTCCTCTCACCATGTGACATGCCCCTTTACCTTCTACCATGAGTAATAGCTTCCTGAGGCCTCACCAGAAGCAGTTGCTGATGTCATGCTTCTTGTACAGTCTACAGAACCATAAACCAAAATAAACTTCTTTTCTTTATAAATTGCCTAGCCTCAGGCATTCCTTTATAACAATGAAAAATGGACTAATACAGAAACATTAGTACTGAGTAGTGAGGTGTTGCTATAAAGATACCTGAAAATGTGAAAGTGGCTTTGGAACTGGGTAACAGGCAGAGATTGAAGGAGTTTGGAGGGCTCAGAAGAAGACAGGAAGATAAGGGAAACTTTGGAACTTATTAGAGACTGGTTAAGTGGTTGTGACCAAAATGCAGATAGAAATATGGACTGTAAAGGCTAGGCTGACAAAGTCTCAGATGGAAATGAGAAACTTACTGAGGGCTGGAGTAAATTCACCCTTGTTACTCCCTAGCAAATAACTTAACTGCATTTTATTCATGTCCTAGGACTTTATGGACAGCTAAACTTAAGAGTGATGACCTAGGATATCTGGCGGAAAAAGTTTCTAAGCAGCAAAGCATTCCAGAAGTGGCATGGCTACTTCTAACAACCTACAGTCAGATATGGGAGCAA